AGAGGTAGTGTTTATCCCCAGGTGCAGCCCAGGCCCCACAGGAGTCCTCGTTCCCACCTGGTTCTCTGTAAGGTTGAGCCGGGCAGCTAGCTGGGCTCTCTTCTTCCCCACCAGATTGTGCTGTTTGGCAAACACTTTCTCCAGCTCTTCCAGCTGCTCCAAGTTAAACATAGTTCGGACCCTCTTTTGGTATCTCTCAGTGTCCGGAAGGTCCTTAGTTGGGACCCAGTCTGGGGAGCTCCGGAGGCCTGGACGGTAAGCCAGCTCCAAATCTGAAGGGTAACGAGAAGAAGAAAAGGTTAGCCAGCAGCCACCTGGCCACTCATGTTGGAGGACAGAGGACATACACACAGTTCCACTACCCTGCCTTGACCTTGGCCAAGTAACATGGCAAGAAAGCAAAGTATGAAGAGAATATATAGAAATAACCCAAAACAAATGAGAAAGAAGAAGGAAACACCATGAGACTCCTTGCCTTCACTACTCTCCAGCCAAGTGGCTTCACTTCTGACCCCTTATAGTTGTCAAACCTTCCTTCTCCTGGCCCGTCTCTCCTTTCCTTGACTATTTGGGGAACCCCAAAGGTGGGCAAAGAAGGCAGCCCCACGGGGTGCACCCTCTTCATTCATTCACAGATACTTTTTGAATGTCTACTGTGTTATTAGACATGGTTTCAGGACGAAACAGAAATCTCTATCTTCATGGAGTTTATATCTTAGAAGGGGAAGAATCAGTAAACAAGGTAAAAATATGAAATAAATTTAGTAGGTCAAATAGCAATAAGTGCTCAGGAGGAAAAAAAGTATGGAAAGTGGACAGGATGAATATGTATGTGTGTTGGTGGGGGCGATCAATTACATCTTTAGAAAGGGTGGTGTGACATTTGAATATGTCTACTACTCTGTAGACATGTCTAGCCACTCTGTACAGCTTGTGCCCTATACATAAATACCTAGCTGGGAGGGTGGGGGTGGGGGTCCAAAATTGGGCCTACTCTCTGTAGTCCCATTCTTGCCCCCAACAAGGTACTATGTTTGGAGGAAAGGATGCCCCTTTCTAAGGGACACAAAAATGCTATTCTGGGCCAGGCGTGGTGGCTCACGCCTATAATCCTAGCACTCTGGGAAGCCAAGGCTGGTCGATTGCTTGAGCTCATGAGTTCGAGATAAGCCTGAGCAAAAGCAAGACCCTGTCTCTACTAAAAATAGGAAAACTGAGGCAAGAGCATCTCTTGAGCCTGAGTTTGAGGTTGCTGTGAGCTATGATGTCACAGCACTCTATGTAGGGTGACAGCTTGAGACTCTGTCTAAAAAAAAAAAATGCTATTCAGCTCACCATGCTGTGGACCAGTGGGCAGTACCTGAGTCTGGGGTTAGAGGGGATGAGGGAGTGAGCCTCTATCTAAGAAGAGAGTATTCTGGGCAGAGGGAAGGGCAAGTGTGATGTCATGTCCACTCAGGCCCTACCAGCTTTGGGGAGCTTTCAGGACAGGCAGACAGACTGCCCCAATGAAGGGAGCAAGGCTGGGGTCCTAGCTGCCCAGGACTCCAATCACTGGGCCCAACAGGCTTACAGTGTGACTGACTGACTGACTGAGGTAGGACCAAAAGACCAAGATAAGCCCAGCAGGCATACAACCTGGTATAGTCCATAGTACCTAGTCTCTCCTGCCTTGTTTCAGAACCATAAGTAGTTATCAGCCTGGGAGAAGAAATTAGGATGTGTATGTTCCTTAAGAGCTCTGGTTGGAATCCTAGCTCTGCCACTAGTTACCAGCCACAGGACCTTGGGCAAGTCTGTATACTTCTGTGAGCCTTGATTTCCTTTATGTAAAATGGCAATAATAATCCCTACTTCCAAGGATGTCACAAGGATTTTAAAATATGGTATTTGTGAGGTGCTTAGTACTGGTCCCACTACAGAACAGAAGAAAGTCAATGGTTTTTATAAAATTTATAACCCAAGAGATAGTGCTATGAAGAAGAGATGGATTATTTCCAGATGAATTGGGTCCAGAGCTGGGAAAAATTAAGCTGGACCCATATCTTATACCATGCACGAAGAAAAACTGGAAATGGGGCTCGGCGCCTATAGC